CATCAAGGTCCTGTAATACTTCCAGAGGGCTCATAAGTGCAGGAAACCTGGTCCATCAGCCAGCTGGTGATAGGGGCTTGGCATACTCCTAGTGGATTCCCTAAAGCACACAAACAAGAAATGATGCTTACAGTTGCACCAAAAACTGAAACCTGAGCAAGAACAAGTGCTTCTCTCCACTGCTCACCTGGCAGACTTGGCCTTGACAGCTGCTATCTGCCTGGACCTCCTAAAAATAAAGGCAAAGAACTCCACTGTAATAGAGTCACCATTTAGGCTTCCCCTGCAATTGCAAACAATGACTGACCTGCTCATTGGAAGGTCCTCACCCAGGACTGGAGCCACTGCCACAGATTTGAACTGTCTGCATCTGAAAGGAAGTTAGGACTAGTGTCAAACAGCTGCAGAAAAACTTAACAGTACCAAACATGTTACGGCAATCTCTTAATCCAGTCTAGAGCCAAACTACACCCTGCATTACAAATTTCAAGCCCCCAGGACTTGGGCTGTTACAGGCTATGCAGCAGGGCAGAGCAGCTCCGGGATGAATATATGCAGACACCCGTGACACAGGACAGGACGTGACAAAGGAGGGGACAGGAGAGGGAGAGACAGCTTTAGATGAGAAGAAAGGACTGAGCGACCCAAAGAACACAGAGTGCACCAGAGACAAGTGACAGGACACACACCGGAACTGCTCTGCCCTGTGCACCTCAGCACAGATATCGAAACAGACACTTGCACTTTAGGTGGCCTAAGGGGATGCTTCTTGGACATCCCCATCTCCAAAATTGACTCAAAAACTCCTCCTGCGGAGTCCCAACCCGGCACCTCTCTTCCATCCCCTTTGTGGGTCGTAACCCTTGACTTATCTTGCACATATCTGGGGATGCAAATCCTCATCAGGTGCAGAAGGAGGCCTCCTGCCGGTCTGGGAAATTCCAGTTGTCACCAGGCTGTTCTCTCTTGGTCTGACAAGAGAAAGAAAACCAAACATCAGTGCACAACCTTAACAGTACATCGGCCAAAACCTGACAATTCTGCTACTCACCGTTTCCTAAGAATGCTCGGGCCACGCACCTCAGGCGTGCTTGGAGGCCGACACCTTCAACACAGGGTACACCTAGGTTAAGTGGAGACAAGGTGACGCGGCATTGCTGAAACTTCAGAGGACCCTTGCTCCTCCTCCCAACCTCCCCAACTCACCACAACTCCTCGGCCATTCCTCTGGGCTACCAGGAGGGGACCTTGAAATACAAAACCGGTAGGCTTCATCACAGGGTCCTGTAATACTTCCAGAGGGCTCATAAGTGCAGGAAACCTGGTCCATCAGCCAGCTGGTGACAGGGGCTTGGCATACACCCAGTGGATTCCCTAAAGCACACAAACAAAAAAGCATGCTTACAGTTGCACCAAAAACTGAAACCTGAGCAAGAACAACTGCTTCTCTCCACTGCTCACCTGGCAGACTTGGCCTTGACAGCTGCTATCTGCCTGGACCTCCTAAAAATAAAGGCAAAAAACTCCATTGTAATAGAGTCACCATTTAGACTTCCCCTGCAATTGCAAACAATGACTGACCTGCTCATTGGAAGGTCCTCACCCAGGTCTGGAGCCCACTGCCACAGATTTGAACTGTCTGCATCTGAAAGGAAGTTAGGACTAGTGTCAAACAGCTGCAGAAAAACTTAACAGTACCAAACATGTTACGGCAATCTCTTAATCCAGTCTAGAGCCAAACTACACCCTGCATTACAAATTTCAAGCCCCCAGGACTTGGGCTGTTACAGGCTATGCAGCAGGGCAGAGCAGCTCCGGGATGAATATGTGCAGACACCCGTGACACAGGACAGGACGTGACAAAGGAGGGGACAGGAGAGGGAGAGACAGCTTTAGATGAGAAGAAAGGACTGAGCGACCCAAAGAACACAGAGTGCACCAGAGACAAGTGACAGGACACACACCGGAACTGCTCTGCCCTGTGCACCTCAGCACAGATATCGAAACAGACACTTGCGCTTTAGGTGGCCTAAGGGGATGCTTCTTGGACATCCCCATCTCCAAAATTGACTCAAAAACCCCTCCTGCGGAGTCCCAACCTGGCACCTCTCTTCCATCCCCTTTGTGGGTCGTAACCCTTGACTTATCTTGCACATATCTGGGGATGCAAATCCTCATCAGGTGCAGAAGGAGGCCTCCTGCCGGTCTGGGAAATTCCAGTTGTCACCAGGCTGTTCTCTCTTGGTCTGACAAGAGAAAGAAAACCAAACATCAGTGCACAACCTTAACAGTACATCGGCCAAAACCTGACAATTCTGCTACTCACCGTTTCCTAAGAATGCTCAGGCCACGCACCTCAGGCGTGCTTGGAGGCCGACACCTTCAACACAGGGTACACCTAGGTTAAGTGGAGACAAGGTGACGCGGCATTGCTGAAACTTCAGAGGACCCTTGCTCCTCCTCCCAACCTCCCCAACTCACCACAACTCCTCGGCCATTCCTCTGGGCTACCAGGAGGGGACCTTGAAATACAAAACCGGTAGGCTTCATCACAGGGTCCTGTAATACTTCCAGAGGGCTCATAAGTGCAGGAAACCCGGTCCATCGGCCAGCTGGTGACAGGGGCTTGGCATACACCCAGTGGATTCCCTAAAGCACACAAACAAAAAAGCATGCTTACAGTTGCACCAAAAACTGAAACCTGAGCAAGAACAACTGCTTCTCTCCACTGCTCACCTGGCAGACTTGGCCTTGACAGCTGCTATCTGCCTGGACTTCCTAAAAATAAAGGCAAAGAACACCGCTGTAACACAGTCACCATTAAGGCTTCCCCTGCAAATGCAAACAATGACCTGCTCATGGGAAGATACTCACCCAGGACTGGTGCCCTCTTCCACAGATTTGAACTGTATGCATCTGAAAGGAAGTTAGGACTAGGGTCAAACAGCTGCAGGAAAACTTAACAGTACCAAACATGTTATGGCAATCTCTTAATCCAGTCTAGAGCCCAACTACACCCTGCATTACAAATTTCAAGTCCCCAGCACTTGTGCTATTACAGGCTATGCAGCAGGGCAGAGCAGCTCCGGGATGAATATGTGCAGACACCCGTGACACAGGACAGGACATGACAAACAAGGGGACAGGAGAGGGAGAGAGAGCTTTTGATGAGAAGAAAGGACCGAGAGACCCAAAGAACACAGAGTGCACCAGAGACAAGTGACAGGACACACACCGGAACTGCTCTGCCCTGTGCACCTCAGCACAGAGATCAAAACAGACACTGTCCCTTTAGGTGACCTAAGGGGATGCTTCTTGGACATCCCCATCTCTACTACAGACACAAAAACCTCTTCTAGAAAGTCCCAACCTGGCACCCCACCTCCATCCGCTCTGTGGGTCATAACCCTCCACTTATCTTGCATGCATCTGGGGATGCAAATCCCTGTTGGCTGCAGAAAAAGGCCGTCTGCCTGTCTGGTAAGTTCCAGCTGTCACCTCTTGGTCTGCCAAGAGAAAGAAAACCAAACATCAGTGCACAGTCTTAACAACACATCGGCCAAAACCTGATAATTCTGCTATTCACCATCCTCCTCAGAATGCCCAGGCCATACCCCTCAGGTGTGCTTCGAGGCCGACAGCATCATCTCCGGGTACAGAGAGGTTAAGTGGAGAGGGGGTGATGTGGCATTGCTGAAACTTGAGTGTACCCACACTCCTCCTCCCTACCTCCCCGACTCACCGCAATTCCTTGTCCATTCCTCTGGGCTACCAGGGTGGGACCCTGAAATACAAAATTTTTAGGCTTCATCACAGAGTCCTGCTATACTTCCAGAGGTCTCATAAAGCACAGGAAACCCAGTCCATCGGCCAGCTGGTGACAGCTGCTATGCATACTCTGAGGGGATTCCCCAAAGTACACAAACAAGAATGGTTGCTTACAGTTGCACCAAAAACTGAAACCTGAGCAAAAACAACTGCTTCTGTCCACTGCTCACCTGGCACCCTGGGCCTTGACTGCTGCTATCTGTCTGGACCTCCTAAAAATAAAGGCAAAGAACACCGCTGTAACACAGTCACCCATTTACGCTTCCCCTGCAAATGCAAACAATGACCGACCTGCTCATGGGAAGATACTCACCCAGGACTGGTGCCCTCTGCCACAGATTTGAACTGTCTGCATCTGAAAGGAAGTTAGAACTAGTGTCAAATGGCTGCAGGACTTAACAGCACCAAAAATGTTATGGCAATCTCCCAATAGAAATTTCAAGTCCCCAGAACTTGTGCTGTTACAAGCTATGCACCAGGGCAGAGCAGCTCCGGGATGAATATGTGCAGACACCCGTGACACAGGACAGGACGTGACAAAGGAGGGGACAGGAGAGGGAGAGAGAGCTTTTGATGAGAAGAAAGGACCGAGAGACCCAAAGAACACAGAGTGCACCAGAGACAAGTGACAGGACACACACCGGAACTGCTCTGCCCTGTGCACCTCAGCACTGTGATCTAAACAGACACTTTCCCTTTAAGTGGCCTAGAGGGGCACTTCTTGCACATCCCCGCCCACAAAGCTGATTCCCCTCTGTGGGCCTTAGCCCTCAACTTATCTCTCCAGCATCTGGGGTTGAGAAGGCTGCCTCGCCTGCTGGGAAGGTCCTGTGGTCACCGGGCTGTGGTCCCTTGCTCAGCTACAATCAAGAACACCAAACATCACTGCATGATCTTAGCTGCACCATGGAAAAAACCCAGCAATTCTGCTACTCACCATTCTCCTAAGAATGCCCAGTTGCTCGGGCTGCACACTTTGGCCATGCTCAGAGGCTGCCACCGTCATTGTAGGGTCTGCCTGGGTTAAGGATAGACAAAGTGACTCGGCATTGCTGAAACCTAAGCGGACCTTGGCTCCCGCTCCCTACCTCAGTGATTTGCCGCAACTCCTTGGCCACTGCCAAAGGCTCCCCGGATGCCATCTTGAAATACAAAATTTCAAGGCTTCATCACAGAGTCCTGTAATGCTTCCAGAGGGTTCACAAGCACAGGAAACCCGGGCCATCAGCCGGTTGGTGACAGCTACTAGGCATACTCCAAGTGGATTCCCTAAAGCAGAAAAACAAGAATGGATGCTTACAGTAGCACCAAAAATTGAGACCTGAGCAAGAACAACTGCTTCTGTCCACTGCTCACCTGGCACCCTGGGCCTTGACTGCTGCTATCTGTCTGGACCTCCTAAAAATAAAGGCAAAGAACACCGCTGTAACACAGTCACCCATTTACGCTTCCCCTGCAAATGCAAACAATGACTGACCTGCTCATAGCAATACCCTCACCCAGGACTGATGCCCTCTGCCACAGATTTGAACTGTCTGCATCTGAAAGGAAGTTAGAACTAGTGTCAAACGGCTGCAGGACACCTTAACAGCACCAAAAATGTTATGGCAATCTCCCAATACAAATTTCTAAGTCCCCCGGACTTGTGCTATTACAGGCTATGCAGCAGGGCAGAGCAGCACCAGGATAAATGTGCAGACACCCGTGACACAGGACAGGATGTGACAAACCAGGGGACATGACAGGGAATGAGAGCTTTTGACAACAAGAATGCCTGCAAGGACCGAGAGTCCCAAAGAACACAGAATGCACCAGAGACAAGTGACAGGACACACACCAGAACTGCTCTGCCCTGCGCACCTCAGCACTGAGATCAAAATAGACACTTTCCCTTCAGCTGGCCTAAGGAGACGCTTCTTGGACATCCCCATCTCCAAAACGGACTCAAAAACCTCTCCTGGGGAGTCCCGACCTGGCACCTCTCTTCCATCCCCTCTGTGGGTTGCAGCCCTCGACTTATCTTGCACATATCTGGGGATGCAAATTGCAGTCGGGTGCAGAAGGAGGCCCCTACTCCCATCTCCAGGCTGTGGCGCCAGCTTATCTGTTGGATGATTGGTGGTGTGAATCCACAAAGGACCAGAAATGAGTCTGCCTCAGAGGGGATCACCCGTTAGCCTCTTTGTCAACTAAAATAAAGAACACGAAGATCAATGGATGAATTTCACGCCAATTCCCAGCAAGTCAGCTACCTATACTCTCCTGAGTGTGCCTGGGTGCTCATGCCTCCAGCTCCATCCTGAGTCTAAGGTATGGCTGTTATTATGAGGGGCACCTGGGTTAGAGAGGCAAAGTTATAGGGCATTTCTGTGAGTTCAGTGGATGAGCTTGTGTGCTGTATGACACATTGATTCCTCTGCTTTGCTTGTGAAAAGCCTTTCAAATAGACACCATTACTCACCCTGCTGCCTTCAAACCCCCACCATGATAACTCCTAATCAGGTACCCTACTCACTCTCCCTCTGCAAGTCACAATCCTCGACTTACCTGAAGCCTCAATCTCAGACATCATCTTTGACACAGGGCAGATCACTTCTGTGACATGATGAGTCTGCTGAAAAAATGTTGTACACGACACAACCTGGAATTACAGGAAGTTGCACTCCTCCTAAAAAAAAAAAAAAATCAGAAATTACAAAAGCACCTTACCACCACTGACTGCACAACCCCAAATCACAAATTTAAATATTCCCTGTGTTTAATGTTGCTTTCTTTGCAGTAGCATCAAAGCCTCTGTTACATTAGAAGCCCAAAAGCACCTGCAGCAAACAAGCCGAGATAAGCTGAAAGAGCCTCTTCACCAAAATGAGAGGAGAGCTCTTACCACAGCTGATCCCAGAGAGGGAATGAAGCCCCTTGGCAAAGCCTGGGATTAATATACCCCTGATTGGGCCCGCCTCTCATTCCCATGACACCCAGGAAAAGGGAGGGGGCAAACCCCACCAGGTATAAAATCTCTCAGAGCAGCTACAGTTGTTTGGCTTCTCTGGTTTGAATTCAAGGGGAATAAAGGGCTGGATATAGAAGAAAACTCTTCAGGGAAATGACAGCGCTTTCTTTTTTGCTACAACTACTTGGAGCAACAGGGCAAGAAGACTGATAAGAAATAAAACTTTTTTAGGCAGCATATCTAGATAAATTTGGTAATTTGCTGTTAACTTCTATCATTCCTCAGTGACTGCTAAGTAGTTCTCAGCATGAGTCTAAGGGTGGAGAAGAATACTAATTATATGAACTGTCTAAGTCTCCTTGGAGCTACTAATTAGGGCTAACTAAATTATAATTAAAAATAAGAAAAAAAAAAATAGGTTCCTGGGCAGCATCAAGGTTAAGTACATGCTAGGCTTGCCTTTCTCTGAGATACTTAGTCCTAGGGCACAGAAAGAAGTCCCTGAAATGTAGTTTTAAGCCCTTGAAATGCTGAAAAAGCATTTTAGAAGAGCCTCCTTCAAGCGAATCCCTTAAAATGAAGAAATGGGGAAGGTACCTCCACTGAAACGGATACAATGGCAAATAAATGGCTTCTGCCCTTTAATTTAATCCCTTAGAATATTGGGAAAAGAGAGGTTTTCCTCGCTTTAAAGCTCTCCAGTGCTGAAGACAGAGGGATTTTCCCCTCAATCCAAACCCTTAAGAAAGAGGGCTAGCTGGGCTTCCCCCTCAGTTTAAGCCTTAGGACAACAAAAAAGGTTACCCTTAATTCAAACCCATAAGAAACACTGTCAAGGTTTTCTCCTTCTATTTAAACTGGAAAAAAATGGAGATGGGGATTCCCTATCAATTAACACCCCTAACAGCATAGAAAAGGCAGGGATTTTTTCAACTGAGACCATTACAATTGCAGGGGAAGTGGATTCCCTCATAATTTGAACACAAGAAATAATGGAAAAGGAAGCTTTTTCTCATAATTTAAACCCCTTTTCTCTTCATGACCCCTCTCTTTTCTGGAAGTGCTGTGGAAGGTCTGGGGGTTCTAGGGAGAGGCTGACACAATAAAAGGGGAAAGTTGAAATCTCTCCCGTGGAACCCTACCAAGCATCCTATGGCCTCCTCAGGTGCTGCCCCTTGGCAAGAGGGCTCTTCCCTTGGCATTTTCTGAAATGGATGTTCCGTGCCCAAGTGGGTCCAGCTGCTCCCCAGTCCCTGCTGGATGTTCCAACCATAGTTCCTGGAGGGACACCCCTTTTAGCCCCTCTGGATTAGCAGCTCCCTGTGCAGGTCTGCCCAGGTAGCTGCACTGAAAGCAGCTCGTCACATGGGAAGCTGCTGCACCTAGGAGTGGGGGATGAGGTGAAGAAAGGTCCTCCCTATCCTACACAGCCCTTTGCCAGCCCCTTAAACAATTGGGTGCCAGACTTTCATTTCCAGATAATTAACAGTCTTTCATCTATGTGTGCCCCTGGCCAAGCAGGAATTGTGCTTCCAAAACTGCAAACAGTGAACGATTTCTCACAGATCACAGCTGCCAACACCAGGAACTCTTGCTGCCCTTGGAGAGCAGCACACCTCCGTCGACACACAGGGAGGGTGAGGTGGGTTTTACAGGGAAAAAGGGCAGAGGTCGGGTCACGAGGCCTGTGGCTCCAAGTAACTTTCTACATCTTCTCATTCCAAATGGCACAGGATTTATCCTGGAGCAAAACTGCTGCCAGCAAGAATTCGGCCTGCCCTGGAAATAACAAGCACCCTACAAACTGACATCAGGAACCAGAGAGACCTGACTCCTGTTTTTGTTTTTTTTTTTTAATCACACAAGATTTCTTGAGAATTAAGGCAGCCTCTTCTGCCTTCTACCTGTCAGTCTGAATATAGCATATGCAACTTAATTGCATAAACCATGAAGAGAAGTTTGAGAAATGCACTACTGTGAATTGAGTTACATTTTTCCCCCTGAACTCTTAATAGTATGCACAGAAAGCCAAGAACTGAAAATACAGAACAGCATATGGTTTAAACACAGCTACTCTTCTGTGCAACATTTTAACCGAATCTGACATCCTTAAATTGTATCAAATAATTTAACCTAATCTTGCACAATAAGCACATGACAGTGGTCAGTACTTAAAAGAAAAGCAAGAACAGCTGAATGCTTTTCAAGGCAAAAGGAGAATCTTTTTTTGACAAAAACATCACACAGCACCATAACAAGAAGGGTTACAAAGATAATTCATCTTCATTAACAGTGCTTTCTCCATCCACTCTTAAACATAGTTGCACTCGAATCTTTGGTCATTGAAATGAGATTTATGAGGACAGATTCTGGTAGCAGTTTGTGACATCATCTTCATGTTCTGCAGTCTGCTTTTTAGTCCAGCATCAAAATCTTTCATGGGCTTCAACACAAGAATGAAGCTTTGACAACAAATGTCATCTGAACCCAGCTAATGGAATCTATCAACATTGTACAACAAATACAATACATGAGGAATAAAGTTGAAGAAAAGAGTCAAGTTCTAAATTTCTCAAAGCACACATTTCAGTTCTTACAAGGAGCAATGGCTGAGGAATTTCTGGAGTGGTCAAATGTGCTGTCCAGAATTGGATCGCCTCCTTTGCCTCCACACAGATGGACGGAAGTTATTCCTCTGCATGGGATACATTTTATACCATGTGTGTAACTACAGGGTGGCTTGAAATCACTTTTTTCCTAAATTCTTACAGTTCTAGAGGCAGCACTGTTACTGATACTGGATAGCCTCTTTACCAAAATGAAAAAGGAAAGATTCAGTCCTCAGTAAAAGTACAATTTAAAAAGTGACTGTGTCTGTGCATGTCAGCTTTCAGACCCATATCTTGGCTGAGCAAATGAACACTTAGGAAAAATCTAAGAAGAATTTTCAGATGTTTAAAAATTTATTTAGAGACAGATAAGAGGCATACTTGTTTCTTGTTATTTCAGCCATTAGCACAAGAAGGGTAATGTTATCTAAGTACTGAGGGTTTTTAGCATCATCCTAAAAGCAA